CCCCCCCCCCCCTCCCCCCCCCCCCCCCCCCCCCCCCCCCCCCCGCGGCGGGATCCAAATAATTTGGGCTGAATGGAAGTTCGCTCATGTGAAGTCCGGATAATTGCACAGAGAGCGAAATACTTCAAAGTGCAAGTTTTCCCCCCCAACCGAAGGGACCAAGGCTGTCTCGAAGCCTGCTTTAATTCAAACCATGTGAAGGTTAGTGTTAATTTTTAAGGACAATTCAGAGCGCCAAAGTATTTTCCCCCTCCTAAGCCCCCAAACCCCTTCCAAAAAAATAATACTATTAATAATAGTAGGTGTACGTTTGTATTTCTTTAAAGGAAGGAATTAGAGAGGAGCTCCGAGAGGATGTGGCCCAGAGAGGCTGGAGAGGAAAACATGTTATTTATCTGAGCTTTGACCTAGGGGTAGTCTCAAGGATGCAATCATTTCCAGCCGTAGCATCGCTGTATTTTTGAGCAAACGTCGGTTTTTCTGCTGAAGGAAAGGCTGTGCGAAAGGAAACGCTGGGGCTCAGCTGCACGAACCTCCGTCCTCCTCCTTTCTTTTTTTGCCTCTGGTTGCAAACGAGTTGTTTTAAATGCAATCTCGGTGTTTGCACAGGGATGTCTGGTCTGTTGGTGCGTCTGATGGACGCACGCGTAACCAAGAGGACGGGGAGAGGGGGTTTATCGCGATGCCCAAAGCTCGGGGGGGGTCTTTAGGAGCGACCAGCAGCACCCCGAGCCTCTGCTACGGGAGCAGCATTGGGGAAAGGAAAGCAGGGCTGGGAATTTGGGGGCTAAAACAGGGAAAGAGGGGAGAGAAAGGGAAGCAAAAGAAAGGCAGGAGAAGGAGCGAGGCTTGGGGGGGTTTCAGGAAGAACAAAGCATCTTTCATAGGAAAAAATATCTTGTTAATATGATGAATAATAATAATAATTATTATTATTATTTGAAATCGAGCTTCCCAGCACGCCTGGCCCCGCAGGACAGAAATTCACCTTTTGGGGAAAACGGGAAACGTCTCTTTTGTGAATGAGTTTGACAGCCCCGTCCTTACAGCCACCCA